GGAGAATGGCTGCTTTATATCACATTACCGTCACTCTCAACTGTGAAATGCATTGTTATTGCCTGATTGTCAAGGAAACATAGTGAGTACTAATGCCATTATGACCAGGCAGTGAAGCTGCAGTACTTCCTCCAGTTGAAAAATGGACAGGTGCATCATTTAAAGTCTAACTGGCATAGACAACTGCAGTACCAACCCCAACTCTTATTTCCTATCCATTGTAAAGCAATTCCATATGAGAGATTCTCATCACTTTGATGTGTTGGTGTATTTGCAGGGGAGAAAATAGTACCAGCTAAAATCTTGAGAACTATAGGGGTGCAGTTACATCAGTCCCTTTATTGGAAAAAAGGTCACAGTAGTGAACAGGCTGAAATCCTCTTGCATAACTACACAGGTGTAAATGGGGATTGTCACCAGCCCATAATGTTAATCTTTAATTTAATTTAGCACTTTCTAACACACACACACACACACACAACACAACACATTAGAGCTTATTTTCAGGGGATGTTTTAATTTTTTCATGTACAGCAATCTATATACTGTATATACAAATACAGTCATGTCATCTGGTTGCTGCATAATGGTGGAGGGGCAGGGTTTCACTTAACTGGGGCTTATTTTTGGGGTAGGGCTTATATTATGAGCGTCCTGAAAAATCATACTAGGGCTTATTTTAAGGTTAGGTCTTATTTTCGGGGAAACAGGATATCTGAATATTGCTTCTGGATTGCTGATGACAGGATTGTGACTAGCACTGATGATCTAGTGACAATGTTCAGATATTATGGGGGGCATCCTAAGGTTTCTAAACACTTCCCCCAGGTCAAAAAGGATCCCTAGAGAGCCTTGGAACCTGGGATAGGATTGGGAAGTTTTAAATCACATTAAATCAAAGTAAAGATTAATGTTGCAGGATGATGTCATCGCTATTTACACCCAAATAGCTATATCAACAGGATTCTAGCCAACAAGATCTTAGGGAGTAAATGTCCTTTGTGCTTTTGTAGTCTGTCTTTATGAGAGACACAGCAGTTTGACTGTGGTTGAGTCAAATCTTACAATTTCTTCAAATTCTGGTGTTGTGGAGAAGCAAATTTAAGGAAAAATGCTGGAAATCTCTTTTAATTATAAAGGGCATCTCCTGCCAGTCATTTGAAACAAGTTTTGTGCTAAGGGACATTGTGGTGAACTGAACCCAGAGATCTCTTCTTGGCCTTACAGATGTGTTATTGAATGTCTGAGCTCTCCAGAGGAGCTATTAGTCATCTTTTGCTCTTCAGACCAATGTGAACTTACAGAGGAGCGAGTGAGTGTGTGCATTTTGTTCACTACCTCAGATTTAAAAATAAAATAAAATGAAATGTCATTTGGAAATGTTCAGACAAATATATAAATACATAAATGAGAGGTACATGCATATGTCTGCTCGTTAGTGATTCATGTCAATGCAACTGTTTCTATTCAGCACTACCACTAGGTATATTCATAATTTATTCCTTTTTTTAATTTTGAAAAAATTAAAAAGTAGAAAACAGCATTTAAAAAATATTTTTCTTAAGAAATAATCAAAAGTCTAATTAAAATATTTTAAATGTTTCCAACATTTCTGTCTCTGTTTCTCTCTCTTTTGCAAAAAAAAAAAAAAGGGGGGGGAGGGCGGGGCAGAGGGGATCTTTGTATTTGTGTAAAGTTTAAATAGTCAAATGATTTTGGTGCCTAAGGAAAGTTGCCACTTGTCTGAGCTATATCCCTGGGGATATGACCCTTTTAATCCTCTTTAGTTAATGTATTGGTGATCTTTACTTAGGCAAAGTAAACAGTGCTGATCTGAACAAAGAGGAGGTCATGCTTCCTGCATTACACTCTGACCCTGAGGTCATGGCCTTTGTTCACTTCTCAATAGGAATTGCTCTCAGAGGGCCACCACAAAATGGAGAACTAATTTAGGCGCGTGCTAGTATAGAAAGGAAGAGTATCAGGATTACTTCATTTGAAACTATTCAGTACCAACATTTATACAGTACATACAAAAACTGATGTATGGATAACTTCCTTCAAGCATCTAGCATAACTTCTCTTTGAAATTATTCCTCGATTGTAGCCAAAAGCATTCAATCATTCACAATGCATGGTCCAATATGATAATTAATATTAGCTACTCTTACATTGCAGGTATACAGTTATATTACATTAATTTATCTTCAGAACTCTGAAATTTTAATTATTAAAAGGAAGTGGAAAGTCAAATTAAAACTCTAAATGGTTTGTGTGATATGCTAAATCCAAGGTCTAATACTGAAATCATTTAAAAATACATATACTCTACTTTGAGATAAGTGGGATCTTTAAATAATATTTTTGGTGATCACCAGACTTTTAAGTTATATCACTGAATGTTGATGCTATCAAATTACTAGAAAGACTATAGCATATTCTGTAAATAGGGAAATTATGAAAAATGAAGAATCATAATGGACCGGTGTATACAAGCTATTTTGTTTACAAATTTACTTGAGAAATATTTAATACAGTTTTATCCTTTTTCATTTGTAATTCTTGATAAGAACAGTTTTTTTACATTGACTACATTTGTTTAGAAGTATCTGCTTCTTTAATCTGAATAAATGCTGTCTGGAAAACAAAATCCAAAGAAAATAAAAACACAAGTTCATTCACAAATTAATATTTATTTTTTATATATATACTAAAAATGGTCTGACTGAAAACCCTTGATTAGTGATTTTTGCACTAATCATATACAATTTCAGGGATTTTACTCAATGTAACAGAGAGATACTTCTGAAATTATATTATACTTGCACCATAATACTTTTCCATACTTCCATACTCAAACCTGTGAATGGACTTCACGGCAGATTAACAGGTGGGTGAGATAAAACAGCTGATGGACATTTATATAAAGCCCCATATTTTGTTTTGCTGCTTAACTTCCTGCTTTTATTTGTTTCCAAATAGTGAAACAGTATCTGTAATACAGTTATGATGACACAACAAATGGTACCGTGTTTCCCTGAAAATAGGACAGGGTCTTATATTAAGTTTGCTCCAAAAACGCATTAGGGCTTATTTTCAGGGGATGGTTTATTTTTTTTTCATGTACAACAATCTACATTTATTCAAACAAAGTCATGTTATCTTCTGGTTGCTGCACAATGGTGGAGGATGGGGTTTCACTTAACTGGGGCTTATTTTAAGGGTAGGGCTTATATTACGAGCATCCTGAAAAATCATACTAGGGCTTATTTTCAGGTTAGGTCTCACTTTTGAGGAAACAGGGTATTAACTCTTCTTTCTATATTTATTCAGTAGTTGTTGACTCAAGTTTTGTCAAACCAAACAGCACCTAAGTAAATGTTGATTATTCTGTGAATGTATTCATTGATTTGAAATGGATAATAGGTATTCCTTTTGTAAATGTTTTCTAAACTATAACTCACTATTGTGCATGTAGATATGTAGTGTGTTGATCAGTAGGACTAAATCTTAGATTTGGGTAACATGGGAGTCTAGGTAGGAATAGGATATTTATTTCCACCATGTTTATGGTGGCTGCCTATACTCCCATTTCAGCCAGTATATTTTATAGGTACTATGGTGATAAACATGCTTTGGAGGAAGTTGGGAACAGTATTCTCTGAAGACGATGATTGCTTATGGCCTGTACTTGCTTAAAACCTATCTAGCAGAATAGGAGTAACATCAACATCATAAGCAACTGCTGTGTCAAATGACACAGTACATGGCTCAAAGTGTAAGGATTCTCACTCTCTTATACTTTGCAATAATAATCCTAAATGATACTTGTAAGTAGTGGATCAACTTGTGTAAATATACTTGGGGTACCTAGTGTGGTGTAGCAGTTAGAGTAACAGATTAGGTGTCAGGACACTTGGGTTCAATTTCAAACCGCCCGTGCCCCCCCCCCGGAAGCTCACTGGGGAGGGCAGGTGGAACTGGTAAAACCACACATTAAATACCTCACTTACCTTGAAAACTCTGTTAGGGTCACTATAAGTCACTACTGACTTGACAGCATATAACAAGAATAAATATATTACCATATTAATATTGGCTGGCTACCTTTCTTAAGGTTTTATGTCAAAGTATTCCAGCTTCTGAATAAATAGGCGTTCTGTATGTTCACCAGTATACAGAAATATTTTTTCCTGAGCAACATTTATTGAAAGAAATGTGTTGCAACATGTGGTCTTATTTGGGGTGTACTCCATCTGGGAAATGTTATTTTTGTTTTAGAACGTAACATCCAGAAAGATAAACTATGTTTGTTCGTTATGTTCAAAACAAGAAAATCCTGAATTGGTATGTAGAGTATTTTACTGATTTCAGCAGAATACAGTAAATGTTACAAGGGATTATATTTCATAACTGGAAAATAAAAAAAAGTTTAGGATTTTTGTGGATGTCTGCAATATAAACATGAGCATTTCTTGACACTTCTGTCTTTGAAGCAAGGGGCCATTTCTTTACTCTGTCTTTTTAGTAAGCTTTGATAGTAAAATAAAACCTCAAGATTTAACTTTTCTTCTCTACGAATGGTGATTTTACAAGAAAATAAATACAATTTTTAGTTTTGGGTAAGGTGCTGAGTGAATTTTATAACATGTCTCCATTTACAATATGAGATTGCATAAATAAAGATGTGGCAGTAATTGTCAATTATTAACATATTAGGTCTATATCATTTGGAATTTTTTTAAAGTTTTGCCTGTGCTCACTGAGGACTTTTGTGATGTGAATGTGTTCTTGTACAGCAGAAAATACTTTGAGCATTGCTACTCCAGTTACAGCAATAAGAAGGCATGTAGGAGTCTCCTCTGTATGTGGCTGATGTGATGCTTTTTTCTAAAAAAAGTGGAAGTTCTGTATACATTTTGATTCAATGTACAGTATAGTATAAGAATACAGATGCAATGAAGTAATCACAGACACAGCAATCCCCTTTATAAAAATACCTCTTTTCCAGAAGGTTGCATTTTATTGTTTGGATTCTGTTGCCTTAAGCATTATAATGATTTCCTCATACGGTGGGTTCTTTAAATTTTTAACTTGTTTAATTCACCACACAAAAACTTATTTTCTATTCCAGTAATAATCATTTTTGATAGCTGCAAAAATACAAAAAGGGATGAATTATCTACAAATGAATTTGCATGGGGATAATTCTGTAGTAATAAACTTCAGACAAATTGACATTAGTCTGTGTTAAGAAAAACAGTGAAGACACACGTAGCACCCTAAAGAGGAATAAATAAGATTTGTGAAATTTCTACAGAAACAGGTAAGTGGGTATACCAAGAATTCAGAGAAGAGTGTTTCTTAAAAGCATGGTGATGGAGATGATGCATTATATTTCTGAAAATATATATCCATCCCCATAGCATTCCCTGAAATATTTAGTTGCCAATATACGTATGTTATTATTTGAGATGCAGTATTATTTGTAATTGCAAACATCAGCTTTAGGTTTCCAGTCAAAATACTGTGTATTTTAATCTGTTTCATTACTTTTTCAAAATTCTTCCATACTAGTATTAAATATGGTATGTTAGAAAAATATATTTAAATTTATTTCTTCACAACTCAATGAACGTTCATAATAATCCGATTTAAGAAATTCCTTTTCTACAGAACTTTTAGTTGTACCAAGTATTATATTGTTCCGATTTATTTAACCACTTTAGTACTTTCACAGTACTTTGCTGATTAAATTCATATTCTGTTGAAAACTGCTACATTTTAGAGGTGTCCGATGTACGTATATGACAATATTCCTTTAGCCGCTTATGCCACCTTACTGATTGTTGCTTGGAAATGCTGGAACTCCTGTACCGAGATAATTACATGGCACCCCCTTTATAGAGAAAGAGATTTTGCCTTTGTTTTTTAACTTCTGTATAAACAGTTATACAGTATCTAGTGGTGCCCTTCTGCTGGTGGAGCAGAAACAGCAAGCAGATCAAATTTCCCTTTGCAGCTGCCCCCGGCCAAATTTTCTTCAGATATCTGGGGAATCCTCCAGACCACATTTTGTGGTCATGCAACGGACTTCAATAAGGAGAAAGAAAACTCCCATTGCAAAAGCAGAAGTCGACTTCTGTAGCATTGAATTTGACCCTGTAATGTTTCTGTTGTGGATATCTCTAAAACTAAAATGGGGTGGGTAGTGGATGGGTGGTACAGAATTAACAATACGATTTATATGTTTGAAAGTACCATGTTTCAAAGTCACTTAAAGTTTTGAAGATTGAAAGAGAGTGGCTTTGATTTGTTCCCTTTGGGTCCAGAGAACTTACTTGGTAAAGGTAAGGTACTGTACTTTTGTTTGTATACTGAGTGATAGCTGATTAATAACTGTGCATCTGTTTATGGTATGTATGGACATCCTGCTCTATCTCTGACTGTGGTCAGTGGAAGTAAAATGTTTACATCCTAAGGAGACATAAAAAAAAAAATTAATAGCGCAATCCTGTGCATAGCTATTCAGAAGTAAATTTCACTGAATTCTGTGGGATATTACAAGCACATGTGTATATTCTTCCACGCTTTAGTTAAAATAACTAATAAATATAGGAGATACCATGAAATAATCCACTTTGTTCCTGACCATTAAAGGGCTTTTACACTTCAAGAAAATACTTAGGTCTGAAAGAAGATAATTTCTAAGTGAAGACACAACCACTAGTATGTGTGCATGCATCTCATATGCAAATGGTCATACTAATGTACCTGAGCATTTCTCATTGTTTTAAGATCTGAGATTTAATTAATCACTGACAGCATTTGCTTACCTGTACAGTAAATGAAGGATAATAAAGTAATCCACCTGGAAATTCTCCTGAGCATGTCTCAGTAAAATTATTAAAAGTTTTAAAGGAATACTACCACATTCTCTTTCAATACTGTAATAATGCCCTTAATTTCAATTGCGTAGCTGGCCATGCTAAGAACTGTGCAAGTTAACATTTGCTATTATTCTTTCAAATGGCCATGTAGATTCTAGGGGGAAAAACCCCTTGTAATAGATTTCTTTCAATGATTTTTAAAGCACATTTATTTTTGCAGCATCTGATTAGGCAATAGTACATCTTAGGTACATTACGCACACACACACATATACATATATATATATATTCAACTACAGTGTCCTGTACTGGCAGCATGAATTTCTGTGTTTGAGGGCCGTAAGCTTGACTCTGAAAGCATATTATTTCTAGAACTATCTAGAATCCAGGCATTCAGAATATTTATAGAATGCTGATTTAAATCTTTAGAGCTCTTGCCCACTGAAATCCAAAGGGACATTACAAGCATTTACCTATGGCTTGATTTCTAAATAAATTGATAAAATTAAGTAAGTTGATAAACATCCTTTGGAAAAAAAAATACATTTGTAGACACGTGAAGACTTGACAGCCAGGTTTTTTAAATATTCTGTTTTGGTTTTCATAAATCTCTTTGACCTTTGATTAATTTTGTTTTCTGCATATCGCAGAAATATTTGGGTAGCTTAGGATATGGATGACCACATTAGCAACAATAGTAAATGCTATAGCAAAGGAAATTATTTTGAAGGCCATTGAAAGTTATTTGGTCAGTGCATTTAAAATGCTGACATCCCTCAAAATTGTATAAGCTTTCTCTATCTCACTAGCATTTTGCTAACCACAAGAAAATGCTAACCAGAAGAAACATTCTCAACATTTGTGTTGTACCTGTATTAGACCAACTCTTTAAGTTAACCTAACAAAGGTACCCACTAATACAGATGTTGGTATTTATTAAGTAAGGCTCTTTCAGGCAACATCCTGTTTTCGGTTTGTGTGTGTGTGTGTGGTTTTTTTTTACAATGGAAAGTGATATGCACATAATTGGCAGTTACTGTAAATGTAACAACAAATGGCAAGAACTTTAGATTTTCATTTTCTTAATCTTGATAACTGTCAAGTGTTTGTGTTCTGGAAAAAATCCTTTCTACTTTGGAATACCAGAAAGAAAGAAAAACCAAAACAAAACCTCAACGTATACCCCATTATTATTTACAAAATGTTACTTATATGAAGAAAGAACGACATACAGTACACTGTAATCTAGTCACCAATGTCCTTTGGCCCAGTGGAGGGGACACACTGATATATTCTAATCTAGAACATATTTACCTGGAAACAAGTTCCTTCAAACTTAGTGAGTGTTATGTTTATGTAGACACATTTAAGATTTTGTTCTTAAATATCACTTTCCATCCAGATTATATTCCAAACTGACATAGAAACACTGAGGATAGTCTTCTCCAGCAAAGGCTAGTAGTTCAACTGTGCCTTAAATATCCCTGTGAAAACACTTATACTGTGACTTAGGAAATTAACTGACTGAATCACTTACCTGAGGTTATGCCCCATTTAATTCAGTGGGATATAGCAGTGAGAAAATGTATATAGGGCTGTGTTATTACTTTACCAAAGGATTAATAAACTAAACTATGTTTAAAATGTAGTAACACTAATTAAAAGGAAGTATTTTGCTTAGTATTTATAATCCTTTAGGCAGGCAGTTTGACATATTTTGTTTGCTTTTTAAAAAGAAACACAATGAAATGTTAAAATAGAAGACACAATAAGAACAAAGCTTACTACTTTTGTTATAATGTTTAATGTGCTTAAAATCAAATTATTTTGAAAACAGGAATCGTATATAAAGGGATTTTATAGAAATAAGACAAATCATGAAGTGAATCTGTTATTTGTATTCATATCAATATATTTTTCTCCTCTGATTTTTATTTTTCTTCATATATGTGCGCTAAACAGAAATTAAGGTAAACGTGAAGATTACATTATGTTCATATGTTTTCATTAATGGGATAGAAAAATAATAGAATTCAGAACAACCATTCATATTATATCTCCTGCTTTATTGATATTTTTATAGTTGATATTTTTTAAAAATACCCTGATTCCCCGAAAATAAGACAGGGTCATATATTAATTTTTGCTCCAAAAAAGTATTAGGGCTTATTTTCAGGGGATGTTTTACTTTTTTCATGTGCAATAATCTACATTTATTCAAATACAGTCATGTCATCTTCTGGTTGCTGCACAATGGTGGAGGGTGGGGTTTCACTTAACTAGAACTTATTTTGGGGTAGGGCTTATTTTCGGGGAAACAGGGTAGGTATGGATAAAGAGATCAGCAGATCTGCAAACAGGCATCTATCTGTGTACATATATTTACACCCTATCTCTATCTCTGTACAGATACATATGTATCTATATATGTGAAGCTTGACCATATATTATATACTGTATGTGAAAAAGTCAGTGCAAGACAGAGATTTGTGGATCAACACGGATAAAAGTCATATTAAGCCTTTAAATTATATTACTTAATTTCAGCCCCACTCCTTTCAAGTGTTTTGTAATGAGAGAAGAAAGTCTATGCTGTATTAATATGTATTTCTATATAAAATAACACATATAATGCAATTATAAATATATAACATATTATATATAATATTATATTCAGTTTCTAGTATTATAATGCATTTCCACTGTTTAGTAACAGTCAGTTTATATCTGCTTTTTAAATAAGAAAGTGACTTTGAACTATTTATGAAACGGCATGGCACAGAATTTAAATTGTTTAGTTGTTGAGCAGATATAGTATCAAACTGATTTTACTGAGCATGTCCTTTTGCCTTTAAAAAAAAGGTGATCACAGTCCAGGTGAAAATAACTGTTTTAAAGTCCCAATGCTCAGATATCACCAACTGAGATCAGAACACTACAACATTCTGTGGAAGGGATGATCAATAGTAATTTATAGTAAAATAGTGCTTCCTAATATAAAACATTATGATACATTATATAATGCTGGTCTTAAACTGGCAGAATGTAATCTATGTGTATAATATTATCAATATTAAATTGTTGTCAAGCTTATAATTTTTTAAAAAGCCCAAGAGCTCAAAATCCAGTACTATGAATAATCAATAATACTTATCTTGGTGTGGCAGTTGATCTTCCAGCTAAAATATGAACACATGGATTTAAAATTGTATCTGTCCATCAGAATCTGAGAAAGAGATAAAAATTATTTTATAATCTGCAGTTTTGTTTAGTTTCCCCTCAGCATTATTATTTTAAATGCCTTGTTCATCTGTTACAGTACCTTGTATAATTATCTTTAGGTGCTAAAAGAAAAATAAGTGTCAGCAAAGTACTTAAATATGTTTCTTTAAAATACAATTATTGATTACCTATAATGCCATCAGATTTAAAGCAAGTTTTAAAGTAAATTAAAATTCAAAGGAAAATGGAAGTGCAGTTACCAAAATAATTTCCTACGTCTGCAACAGATGGGGGTGGGAGGTGAATGACATTACTATCTGGATTCAACAGAAGATTTGCTAAAGAATGATTGCCAATTTACGGATGAAGGTATATTTTATGAGTCATCTGCAGAAGGAGAAATAAATTTTAAATGTTTAGATCATTAACATAAAAATTAAATAGTTTAAAAGCATCACACATAGAAATTATAAGCACTACATGTTTTTTAACGGCTTCAAAAATATGGTCACTTTGGAGTTTACTTATAAATGAAATGAGTAAAATTCTTTCCACAAAAAAGCACAGAACACAAGAAACAAATTCACATTTAATGTCCCTAAACCAATCTTGTTTTTTTCCCCACATGCCAGTTAACAGACTGCCATAAGTGCAGCTTCCAAGTATTTATTCTTACTAGAGGTTTGTTATTCCCCCCGCCCCCGAACAGTACAAATCGAATAGGTCTGTAAGTAATAGTAAATACCATAGCTCATAAATATAGCAAATGTGACAAATATTACATTGTCTTTCATCAATACCAGTGAAGTTCTAATGTGCTGTAATACCACTATGTTTCTGTTTAAAGTAAAGAAAATACAATCTAAACAGGCAAGAGAGCAACAGACTGCAAATAAGCCTAAAATTAAGCTTTCCAGTTCAGCATGGTTATTTTCATTGCACTTATATGGTACTTAAGATCTCTTTTTAAAAACAGTGAATAATCATGTTCAAAGCATCCCAGGATTGGGCAGCTGAGAACTTTTACAGCATTCAGTGCCTAATTTTGCCCTTTGCTTCCACGAGAGTGCTCTTAATATTAATTGTTTAGTACAACAGCAAGAACAACATGTTGCTATTGCCTCTTTCAAAGCACATTGTTCTATCCCTTTCCCTGTTTTTTTTTAAAGAAAATAGTATGTTGGTAGTACTATTTGTTCAAAACTATCAAATCAATGTAATGTTTAATGCTTTCTTTCTGGTGAAACAAGTGGTATTTCAGGGAAGAGTACACGATCTTATTCTACTTGCTAGTTTCATTTTAATAGGGTTACCAGTTTAGCATGCTACGAAACATGGCTGTTAAGCAGATGGTAATGGATCATAAGCTGACACACACTCTGCTGATGTGAATGGAAGTTTTTCCAGAATAGTGCTGCCACGTTGCTGTTAACGGTGCTTCCGTGACTGAAATATATGGTGGACTCTTGCTTTATTGTACTGAACACAAGTATTGTAATAAAAGATATTACTGTGTTCTGAGGATCAATCTACCAACGGGGCGGGGGAGAAGGGGTAGTTACTGTATGTACTGCACTATGTTTTTATTGTGATTAATGTTGGATGGCTCACTTGACACTTCTTTAGTGTTAAAAGATGGGGAAGGAGCATCTTATTCAATTACAAGTGTGAAGATAGGTAAGCATTACATATATAGTGCCATATTACAATATGGTAGGCTGTATGTGATTTAAAATATAAGCATTAATAGGTGGTTAAGTTTAATTTTGCCACATTGTCATATTAAGTTTTTTTCTTCTTTATGGAGCAGGAAAAGTGTCTTTTCTATAATATTTAAGAGTCTTGTGTTTTAGCTTTTAACGTCTGTAGCAAGAGCTAAAACTTCTTTTAAAAAAATTAAAAAGGAGGGGCCGTGAACATAGGAACATTAATTTATCATTTAACATAGAAGTAGGAAGACTAATTTAATCCTGCTTTTTTTTTAACAGCAAGGCTCCTAAAGTAAATGTGGAAAAACATATGTGGCTTAACATGATTTCTGGCACACTGAGAAATAATGGCTACTAAGTTACCTTATCTTCAAATTCTCAAAAAATGTAAGACTGATCTAAAAGTAGAGTGGGAATTATTTTCAGTCTCCACACTGATCTAAAATGTGAATGTTAACTCCAAAAGATGCAGTTGATGGACTGTAACAAAGTGATTGTATACTTTGCATTGTTTCTCATTGGATAAAATTATGACACAAACCTACAGTGATCAATTTAAATAACAAATAAAAGATCACTGAGGAGTTATGGTAGTTTTGGAACAAATGAAAAAAATGATTCTTTGAGTTAGGTTTCATATTTTCATCCTGCTTTGGAGGGATTACGTCTAGTGTTGCATAAAACTGACTAAATGGATAAGGAATATATATGACACTTGCAAATATTGGATGTGAAATGATTCCAGGACAAATAAACTTCATACCTTTGTGTTATTTTTTTAAGTAGGTAATTTTGGCACTGACACAGAAAAAAATATCAACTGCCTTTTCATTAGCTACAAAAATTAACCCTTGAATACAGTGGCAGTCATGTATAAAAACAGAGATGGCAAGACTAAAATGATAATTTGCTAGTGGCAAACCTGTATAATTTAAGTAAATGCTACAAATCTGTGTCGGTGCTGTGAAAGCTCTGGTATAAGACATGTATTTTATTGTTACTATCCACTTGGTTAATGATTATTTATTTCTGTACTGTACTTCAGTGTGTGTGTTTGTGTGTGTGTGTGTGTGTGTGTGGATTTAATTTTTATGTGTTAAATGATCTTATAGAGGTTTCTTATCCTCTTATCTAGAGACAGATACTAAAACACTTGTGGATCCTCTCAGTCTAGAAATAAATAAAGAAATCAAGCAGTCGCACATCAAAGCATACATGAGACAAGGCCCAGTTTGTAGGAAAGCAGATTCACTGGATATTTTTTTAAAGCTGGTGACTTTTCAAAAGGATGAAATCTATTAAAAGTCTGGTTTGGAAAGTGAACATTGTTCTAATATATTGCAGTATTCACTTCATGCAACATATACTGTTCGGTGGTTTCAGACTGTAGTTTTAATTACAAGTGGATTGCTTTCTCTGTTAGCTGTTTGACTGGAAGCAGTTAAAATATCAGTTCTGCTTATATTATTGTTGTGCTTTCCCTCAGACAGTAGGCCAGATAATTTCAGTATTGTGCATTTCTAGTACAACTGGAAAAAGATGAAAGTGAACTTTTATCTGGAAAAGGTGGCTGCTGTAGATTTGCATGCCAGGGAGTTGTAAAGCAAAAGGTTTAGTGTGTATCATCTTGGGACTGAAAATGTATCTTGTTATAATGTTGCAGTCACGTCTCTCAGCGACTGTTGCTAAAACCAAAAGGAGAATTTTGTAAATTGAAGCAGAGGGCAAATCTGTATTGTCTTATGGACAGTAAAACCTGGATACAATTCTAAAAAACAAACAAACAGTGGTAGAACTAGCAGCCATATACTCCAAGCAAAAGAGCTCTTGATGTTCCATAGCAATTCATTGGTGCTTCAGTTCTATACCACTTACCTGAGAGTAAGCCCCATGGAACTCAGTGGAACATCTTAATAGCCATATATGGGACTGTGCTGTTACTGCCTCTTTCTATGACAAAGTAAAGAATCAGGAGATTCTATGACTGAATTTTGCATGGTGCCCTTTTTAAAAGAGGCATCAGGTTTATCAACCCTGTGGCATTGTGCAGCTTGTGTGTGCAAGTTGGAGAGCTTACAAAACATACTAGTTTCCCATACATACAAAGAGGAGGAAAAATTAAATATCTATCTATTTATAATATGAAAGGGGAATTTTGGTTGGTTGATTGAAATGGTGAGATGTGACGCAAAAGGACACTTGGATGGATAGAGACGCTGATGTGTGCCAAAACAGGCATACTAAGAAATACTGTTGTTGCTGAGAGAGACAACTTGTGCAGGCCTTTATGCCTTGCTTTTTGACTCATCCCTTGAGAAGAGGCATTGGACGAGGATTTTTAATTAGGAATCCAGGTGAACCTATAAAATACAGTATAAGACAGAGACATACTATGTCCTCTACCCTGAAAACAAATGGCGGGGAATGCTGTCCATGTGTGTTCAAACCACATCCCTGACTTGAGCACTGTGTCTTCCCTCATGGACAACCAGCTAAGTGACAGGTTAGTTAACCAGGCAGGCAGGGATGGAACTAACACTCTTCTGGGCAAGAACCAGAATATCAAGAGATGGCTGACTAGGAAAAGAGACAAAGGGTTTCTAGAGGGCTGGGGGCTCGCTGGCCGGTTCTCCTTCTCTACAGGGGCAGATTTTGTAAATAACATACAGTACATCAGACAAGGCAGAATAATACAGTAACAGTCCTCAAGGGCAGCAGGCGTAGCTTTAAAATTGAAAGTAGACGCAAACACACGAGTAAGAATACCGCACCTTTTAAAAGTATGCCGGTTATCCAACTGCGATACAGACGTCTCTTGCGCAACATTCTTAAGGATCGCTGGACAAAAAAGTTCGCATTGCGAGTCCTCGTCACCCTTCCCCTCCCCTCCCTCCTTAAAGCTGTCAAGGAGGTTTGCATCTCCCTCCCTCCCTCTCTCTTTTGGCGGCCGGGGGGGGGGGCTGATGCTTCTTTAGTAAAGAGAGAGTCAAGCCGTTTTGCTGAGAACGTAGCCTTGTAGCTTCACGAACTTGAGCCAAAAGGAGCAGGAAGTTGTTTTACAATTGCGTTACCGTGATCGGCCACAAATGGAAAAAGCCAAGTGAGGCAAATCTGGGACGAGGAAAGATATAACCTTTTTCTCTCCTCCACCCTCTTTGCTCTTCTGTAAAAGAAGCAGCGAAAAGGAAAATATGGTTGATGGTGTCGAGGGGAGTGTTTCTTTTAAGGAACTGACGGATTATCTTTGCAGAGTCTCTTGGAAGAGAAGGAGGGAGAGGGTATCAAAGAGACTTTCCCCCCTCCCTTACAAAAATGCACTTGGTAACTAGCAACGGGCTTTTGGCACGATTCCTCGAGTTTGCTCGAGGTTATGGATGAGGGCGGGGATAGGAAGAGAGAAGCAAGTCGACGTAGGACGCTCGCTCTCTCCAAAAGACACACACACACACGAGAGAGAAAATGTGGAGACATTTTGGAAGAGCAAGGGAGCTGCGCCTTGTTCTTCACAAACGCCGATTCCTCAGGCACTTGCCCCCCCTCCCCAATCCTATATTCTCCCTGCCACCGTGTGTGTGTGTGTGTGTGTGTGTGCGGGAGCGCGCGTATGTGTAAGTAAAAGCGGTCTCAATCACACCGCGATCATGGCAGCTGTTTTTCTTCCAGCGCAGCAGTGGAGCTGTCTCGCCCAAATGCTTATCAGCTCTTGACTCGGTGCCAAGAGAATTACAAGGGCCCAGCAGCCTCGGCTTGGGCTGTGCAGCTGGTTGGGAAGGAAGGGTATGAGAAAACAAAATCTCC